ACACCCACGAGTCTTCAACACCCACGAGTCTACAACACCCACGAGTCTACAACACCCACGAGTCCACAACACCCACGAGTCCACAACACCCACGAGTCCTCAACACCCACGAGTCCACAACACCCACGAGTCCACAACACCCACGAGTCCACAACACCCACGAGTCCACAACACCCACGAGTCCACAACACCCACGAGTCCACAACACCCACGAGTCCACAACACCCACGAGTCCACAACACCCACGAGTCCACAACACCCACGAGTCCACAATCACCCACGAGTCCACAACACCCACGAGTCTACAACACCCACGAGTCCACAACACCCACGAGTCTACAACACCCACGAGTCCCAACCACAAGAACAACAACATTACAAAAACAACTACAATAACAAAAAAAATCAACATGACAAAAACAACAACTACACCCAACAACAATCACAACTACAACACAACAACCACAACACAACAACAACAGCAACACGACAAGTCACTACAACAATTTCAATTCCAACAACTACAACAAGACAACTACAGCCACAACTACAACCAACAACAACAACAACAACAACTTACCGAGTGGGGGCAAGAGAGTGACAAGCCCCGCCAACAACAACACGATTCTCATTTTCTTTGTCTCGCTTCCCGTTTTCTGTCCTTCAGGGCCCACTCTGCTGTATTCTCAGGTGCTTCTCATCTTTTTTTTTGTTCTATTCAAATAGAGTCGATTAATATTAATATCACACAGTTGTTAACATCGCCTTGTCAAGTAGTTTATTTATTTAACACTTTTTTTGTACACTTTTAATGTTCAATTGTATTTAAAGCCACAACTTATGTTTTTCATAGTTTCATAATAGTTATTTGAAGTTTAAGAACTTTCTTAAGTTCATTGTTCAATGGCTATGCTTATGCTCTATATTATATTCTCTTGATACATTTGTTTCTCTTCACCGAATAATTCACCTAAAAATAAACAATTCGTGCTGTCATAGATTATTACAATCAGCAAATTAATCTCTGATAAGCGTCACAACGATAATAAATCTCCTTCAATGCACTTGATCTTCAGCACAATTATTAAAGTATTCGACGTAACTGAAGAATTATCAAGTGATAATTCTCCCCCGAAAAAAACACCGAGATCGCGATCACTGTAACACACCTCCTCACTCGGCGGCGTCTGGTGAGACACTGACTTGACTCTCCGGCCAGACCTGCCTCGCTGGCGCCCGGGTTGCCAATTGTGGTATTATTGATGCCTGTATTGTGTCATGGTGATATATCAGATGTTGACCTGTCTGTCTGTGTGTTGACCTGTCTGTCTGTGTGTTGACCTGTCTGTCTGTGTGTTGACCTGTCTGTCTGTGTGTTGACCTGTCTGTCTGTGTGTTGACATGTCTGTCTGTCTGTGTGTTGAGCTGTGTGTTGACTACCGTGAATCTTTCTATTCTCATAAAGAGAAGATGAAGAGAAACTCTCTTCTCACAGAAGAGAGAGAGAGAGAGAGGAGAGAGAGAGCGAGAGAGAGAGAGAGAGAGAGAGAGAGAGAGGCGAGAGAGAGAGAGAGATGAGAGAGAGAGAGAGAGAGAGAGAGAGATGAGAGAGAGGAGAGAGAGCAATCACACACACACACACACACACACACACACACACACACACACACACACACACACACACACACACACACACACACACAAGGGGCACACGCACTAGGGGATACAGGTGGAAATTGAGTGCCCAAATGAGCCACAGAGATATTAGAAAGAACTTTTGTAGTGTCAGAGTGGTTGACAAATGGAATGCATTAGGAAGTGATGTGGTGGAGGCTGACTCCATACACAGTTTCAAGTGTAGATATGATAGAGCCCGATAGGCTCAGGAACCTGTGCACCTGTTGATTGACAGTTGAGAGGCGGGACCAAAGAGCCAGAGCTCAACCCCCGCAAGCACAACTAGGTGAGCACAACTAGGTGAGTACACACACACACACGGGGCTGTGTGACTGAGTGACTGAGTACAGCTTAGGGGCTGGCTGGCTGAGTGGACAGCGCTCTAGACTCGTGGACCTAGGGACCAGGGTTCGATCCCGGCAACTGGCGGAAAAACAAATGGGCAGAGTTTCCTTCACCCTGATGCCCCGTTACTTAGCAGTATATAGGTACCTGAGAATTAGACTCTTGCTACGGGCTGCTTCCTGTGTGTGTGCAAAAAAAATAGTAGTTAGTAACAGTTGATTGATTGACAGTTGAGAGGCGGGCCGAAAGAGCCAGAGCTCAACCCCCGCAAGCACAACTAGGTGAGTACAGAAAAGACTGTACAGGATATGATGGATTATGTCACCCAGATGTGTCAGGAAGCTGCAGACAGGTTTATCCCGGCCCAAAAGGAGAAAAATGAAAAGAAACAGAAGAATCCATGGTTCAACCAGGAATGCAAGGTAGCGAAGTAATAAGAGTACAAGAACACCAGAGAGCAGGGAGAGATACCAGAGGGCCAGGAATGAGTACCTCAGAGTGGGGAGAGAAGCAGAGAGACAGTATGAAAATGGCATCGCGAGTAAAGCCAAGACCCAACCAAAGCTGCTCCACAGCCACGTCAGAAGGAAAACAGCAGTGAAGGAACAAGTGATGAAACTAAGAAAATGGAAGAACAGATACACGGAGAATGATAAGAAGGTGTGTGAAGAACACAACAAGAGTTTCCAGGAGGTCTTCACAATAGAACAAGGAGAGGTCCCTACACTTAATGAGGAGGCAAACCAAGCAACCTTGGAGGAATTTAGCCCCACCAGTGATGAGGTAAAAAGGAATCTGTTGAAGCTGAATGTGACAATGGCAGTTAGGCTTGACAGAATCTCACCGTGGATACTAAAAGAAGGTGCAGAAGCACTATGCACGCCATTCCCTATGGTGTATAACAGGTCACAGGAAACAGGAGACCTACCAGAAAGCTGGAAGACAGCTAATGTAGTCCCAATATACAAGAAGGGTGACAGGCAAGAGGCACTGAACTACAGGCCAGTTTCCCTAACTTGTATACCATGCAAGGTGATTGAGAAGATTGTGAGGAAAAGGCTCGTAGAACATCTAGTGAAAGGGGTTTTGTAACGCACCACCGGCAGGGTTCAGGGATAGTAAATCGTGTCTCATAGCCTTAATAGAATTCTATTACCAGGCGACAAAAACAGGCAAGAAAGAGAAAGATGGGCAGACTGTATTTCCTTGGACTATTACAAACCCTTTAACACAGTACCCCACAAAAGCTGTTACATTAGTTAGAGCAACAGGCCGGAGTTAAAGGTAAGGTGCTCCAGTAGATAAGGGAGTATCTAAGCAACAGGAAACATCGAGCAACGGTGAGGGGGCGTGAGACATCAGAGTGGCAAGATGTCACCAGCGGAGTCCCACAGGGCTCTGTACTTGGACCCATCCTGTTTCTAATATATGTAAACGAACTTCCAGAGGGTATAAACTCATTCCTCTCAATGTTTGCTGATGATGCAAAAATTATGAGAAGAATCAAGACAGATGAAGATAGACAGAGACTACAGGATGACCTGGACAAACTGGAGGAATGGTCTAGAAAATTGCTACTAATTCAAAGAGGAATTAATAGGGTAGATAAAGGCAAACTATTTAAAGTGGGTGGAACACGAACAAGGGGACACAGGTGGAAACTGAGTATCCACATGAGCCAGAGGGATGTTAGAAAGAATTTTTCAGTGTCAGAGTAGTTAACGGATGGAATGCATTAGGCAGTGATGTAGTGGAGGCTGACTCCATACACAGTTTTAAATGTAGATATGATAGAGCCCAGTAGGCTCAGGAACCTGTACACCAGTTGACTGACGGTTAAGAATCGGGAAGAAAGACCCGAAGCTCAACCCCCGCAAGCACAACTAGGTGAGTACATGTACACTCACAAACAATTAAATCTAATTAAATACTATTAACGAAGCTAATCTTGCTATTGTCACCACCGCTAATATCATCAATCGCTTCAACGAGTACTACTATAACTGCTGGTCTGATTAGTGCCACCACTGCCTACCTCCCACTCGGCCACAGCCGCCCACTCGGCCACAGCCTCCCACTCGGCCACAGCCTCCCACTCGGCCACAGCCGCCCACTCGGCCACAGCCGCCCACTCGGCCACAGCCTCCCACTCGGCCACAGCCGCCCACTCGGCCACAGCCGCCCACTCGGCCACAGCCGCCCACTCGGCCACAGCCGCCCACTCGGCCACAGCCGCCCACTCGGCCACAGCCGCCCACTCGGCCACAGCCTCCCACTCGGCCACAGCCGCCCACTCGGCCACAGCCGCCCACTCGGCAACAGTCGCCCACTCGGCCACAGCCTCCCACTCGGCCACAGCCTCCCACTCGGCCACAGCCGCCCACTCGGCCACAGCCGCCCACTCGGCAACAGTCGCCCACTCGGCCACAGCCGCCCACTCGGCAACAGTCGCCCACTCGGCCACAGCCGCCCACTCGGCCACAGCCGCCCACTCGGCCACAGCCTCCCACTCGGCCACAGCCGCCCACTCGGCCACAGCCGCCCACTCGGCAACAGCCTCCCACTCGGCCACAGCCGCCCACTCGGCCACAGCCGCCCACTCGGCCCTTCTCAACCACTGGTTCAAATAGCTTCTTTTACCTTCCCAGGGGGCCTTTCACCTCCCCTGGGGCCCTTCACCTCCCCTGGGGTCCATCACCTCCCCTGGGGGCCCCTCACCTCCCCTGGGGCCCCTCACCTCCCCTGGGGGCCCCTCACCACCCCTGGGGCCCTTCACCTCCCCTGGGGCCCTTCACCTCCCCTGGGGCCCTTCACCTCCCCTGGGGGGTCCCTCACCTCCCCTGGGGGGCCCCCTCACCTCCCCTGGGGTCCCTCACCTTCCCTGGGGGTCCCCTCACCTCCCCAGGGGTCCCTCACCTCCCCTGGGGGCCCTTCACCTCCCCTGGGGACCCTCACCTCCCCTGGGGGTCCTTCACCTCCCCTGGGAGGTCCCTCACCTCCCCTGGGAGGTCCCTCACCTCCTCTGGGGGTCCTTCACCTCCCCTGGGGGTCCCTCACCTCCTCTGGGGGTCCTTCACCTCCCCAGGAGGCCCCTCACAACCATTGGTGGACTGTCCCTCACCTCCCCTGGGGGCCCCTCACCTCCCCTGGGGGGTCCTTCACCTCCCCTGGGGGGCCCCACACCTCCCCTGGGGGCCCTCACCTCCCCTGGGGGTCCCTCACCTCCTCTGGGGGTCCTTCACCTCCCCAGGAGGCCCCTCACAACCATTGGTGGACTGTCCCTCACCTCCCCTGGGGGCCCCTCACCTCCCCTGGGGGGCCCTTCACCTCCCCTGGGGGGCCCCACCTCACCTCCCCTGGGGGACCCCACACCTCCCCTGGGGGCCCTCACCACCCCTGGGGGGCCCCACACCTCCCCTGGGGGACCCCTCACAACCATTGGTGGACTGTCCCTCAGCTGTTCATTACCGGGGCCTGACGTACGGACCTCGCGAAATTACAAAGCAGTTGCTACAAGCTTTCGTTTCTCTCATCCCGGGACGTTTGTGGAGAATTTATCACTCTCCAAAACCTGGGTCATATTCTGCCCTGCTCTCTCCCCCCGACCCCCATCTCCCTCCCCCCTCTCCCCCCTCTCCTCCCTCTCCCCCTCTCTCCCCCTTCCCCCCCCCCCCTCCACCGAAGTTCGTTTCCTTAGTTCGTTCTTTTCGTTCCTTCAGCAACCATGGTGGACAAACCCAAACCAGGTTGGCAGATTGAGTGACGCCATCTATACAAGTGAGGTATATATATATATATATATATATATATATATATATATATATATATATATATATATATATATATATATATATATATATGCACTATGGTGGGGACGGGGCAGGTGGAGAGGGAAGGTGTTGTAGAGAGAGTTGGGGTGACAGGCAGGGTCCTTGTGGCACTCCACTTCACTCAGTTCTGGTGCATCATCCTCAGTAAATGCTGAGATTGGCATAGACAATTGGCTGTTTACTTGTCTATGATAAGCCAAGTTCGGCCAAGTTTGGTGCGTGTCGTGGCCGAGTTGTTTAGTTATATGCTTTCAAAGTGATCCAGTGTCTTTTGAAAGGCAACTACGCAAGTTGCCTTTCAAAACAGCTGTGATTCATGTCTAAGACACGAATACAATCGTAAAACTGTCACCAATTTATGCAGTCCTTGTGCGCCTTTGTGCTGAGGAAATTTAAGTGTTCAATGACATCCACCATGAATGTTGTCCTTGAACCACTTGTTATCTTCCAGTCCATGAACATCTTTTTCATAATGTCTCATAAAATACATCACCATGTAGTTTATTACAGCGCTTCACTACAGCGTTCAGACTTGCCCATTAAACTGCCGGCGGGTAAGACCGTTCAGACTTGCCCATTAAACTGCCGGCGGGTAAGACCGTTCAGACTTGCCCATTAAACTGCCGGCGGGTAAGACCGTTCAGACTTGCCCATTAAACTGCCGGCGGGTAAGACTTTGTCCTCGTTTACAATTCATTATTTTTTTCTTTCAGACGGCATCCCAATGCATTATCCCTATTTAATGTTTTACCGCACAACACTTCTATATTAATACTTAATAATGTAAAGTGGAATATCTGTGGTTTCCGTTCACATAGTTGGTAGTTTTCCCTGTAACCTAACCACCACAGTGGCTCTCGTAATGATCACTTGTGGTCATTACAGACTGTACATTGTGGGTACAGACTGCTCAGCCTGTAGCCAGACTCAAGGGTTGTTTTCCGATCAAAGACTAATTTGTCCAGGATTAATACCAAATTTGGAGAGATATTATCACCTGTTGGGTTTTGTTTCTTTTATTGGTATAAATTTCAGAAAACTTTTCTCTTGCCTGCATGACTTCATCAACGCCTGGTTACACTGTTGCCTGCATGACTTCATTAACGCCAGATTACACTGTTGCCTGCATGACTTCATCAACGCCATGTTACACTGTTGCCTGCATGACTTCATCAACGCCAGATTACACTATTGCCTACATGACTTCATCAACGCCTGGTTACACTGTTGCCTGCATGACTTCATTAACGCCAGATTACACTGTTGCCTGCATGACTTCATCAACGCCTGGTTACACTGTTGCCTGCATGACTTCATCAACGCCAGATTACACTATTGCCTACATGACTTCATCAACGCCTGGTTACACTGTTGCCTGCATGACTTCATCAACGCCATGTTACACTGTTGCCTGCATGACTTCATCAACGCCAGATTACACTGTTGCCTGCATGACTTCATCAACGCCAGATTACACTATTGCCTACATGACTTCATCAACGCCTGGTTACACTGTTGCCTACATGACTTCATCAACGCCAGATTACACTGTTGCCTGCATGACTTCATCAACGCCTGGTTACACTGTTGCCTGTATGACTTCATCAACGCCTGCTTACACTGTTGCCTGCATGACTTCATCAACGCCAGATTACACTGTTGCCTGCATGACTTCATCAACGCCTGGTTACACTGTTGCCTGCATGACTTCATCAACGCCTGGTTACAGTGTTGCCTGCATGACTTCATCAACGCCATGTTACACTGTTGCCTGCATGACTTCATCAACGCCTGGTTACACTGTTGCCTGCATGACTTCATCAACGCCTGGTTACACTGTTGCCTGCATGACTTCATCAACGCCAGATTACACTGTTGCCTGCATGACTTCATCAACGCCAGATTACACTGTTGCCTGCATGACTTCATCAACGCCAGATTACACTGTTGCCTGCATGACTTCATCAACGCCTGGTTACACTGTTGCCTGCATGACGTCATCAACGCCAGATTACACTGTTGCCTGCATGACTTCATCAACAACAGATTACACTGTTGCCTGCATGACTTCATCAACGCCTGGTTACACTGTTGCCTGCATGACTTCATCAACGCCTGGTTACACTGTTGCCTGCATGACTTCATCAACGCCTGGTTACACTGTTGTCTACATGACTTCATCAACGCCTGGTTACACTGTTGCCTGCATGACTTCATCAACGCCTGGTTACACTGTTGCCTGCATGACTTCATCAACGCCATGTTACACTGTTGCCTGCATGACTTCATCAACGCCTGGTTACACTGTTGCCTGCATGACTTCATCAACGCCTGGTTACACTGTTGCCTGCATGACTTCATCAACGCCAGATTACACTGTTGCCTGCATGACTTCATCAACGCCAGATTACACTGTTGCCTGCATGACTTCATCAACGCCAGATTACACTGTTGCCTGCATGACTTCATCAACGCCAGATTACACTGTTGCCTGCATGACTTCATCAACGCCTGGTTACACTGTTGCCTGCATGACTTCATCAACGCCAGATTACACTGTTGCCTGCATGACTTCATCAACGCCATGTTACACTGTTGCCTGCATGACTTCATCAACAACAGATTACACTGTTGCCTGCATGACTTCATCAACGCCTGGTTACACTGTTGCCTGCATGACTTCATCAACGGCAGTTTACAAATAATAAACTATGATGCTGCATCAGTTACACCTGCGCTCTGAAAATTGTTATATAAAAATGCTGAAAAATGCTTAATATACTTTTGTTTTGAGTTGAATTAATATTCTCGACAAGTCCCTGATCCTCTAAACAGCTGTATTTCTTGAGAGACTTTTTCACAAAAGTTTGTATTTTATATAAAAGTTTATATATAAAGTTCCCTTCCGGGAAATGCTTCAAGGACAGTTTTAAATGAGCAATCAAATATCTAAGCTTACCCGACGCCTCAGTCACTATACACAACTTTTTTTTCGTATTGACTGACACGTTTTCAACGTTTGGTATAACCCATCAACTCCATCATCATTACGGACTGATGAGTGTTCCTGTGCAGGAAAAGTGTCACAACAATCGTACACAAGGGAACACAACATTGTGGCAGCAGATACAGTAACAGGGAAAACAATCGTTTCTAAAAATCAGTAATCAATAGTCACGTGATAATTTGTTTGATTTCAAAAACCACGAGCTGGTTACTTGGCGACGAGGAGGCTTCAATTTTTTTTTTTTTTTAGACTCTAGAGACCAATCGAGAAACGTGATACAGTGAACGAAATTGAAACTCTGCACTTTGAAGTCCAACCACTTGGGCTGGATGGTAGAGCGACGGTCTCGCTTCGTGCAGGTCGGCGTTCAATCTCCGACCGTCCAAGTGGTTGTGGCTACCATTCCTTCCCCCCCGTCCCATCCCAAATCCTTATCCTGACCCCCTTCCCAGTGCTATATAGTCGTGATGGCTTGGCGCTTTCCCTCTGATAATTCTCTCTCTGCACTTTGAAAAGAGTGTTGTGGAGGCAGCGACCGCACTGAGAGACAAGTGCGGGAATCTGGCTTCCCCGCACTTGTCTGCGGGGAAGCCGCAAACAAGTGGCTCTGGGAATCATCCCAGAGCCACTTGTGGCTCTGGGAATGATTCCCAGATGATTCCCAGAATGATGAATGATGGACACCACTGAACATGTGACGGACCTGGAGATGAACATGTAACCGAAGCCGTTCAGCCTATTAGCTCATATATCGACGCACTTCGAGAAGAATATCAGTTATCATTCAACGAAGTGTTGTAAAACTTCGTACAATGTACAAAAGTTTGGCTATGTATCTGCTGACAAGACTATCAAGAGCAAGCTTCAGGTGGTTCATGATGACGACATCATTATCACGTCTGATCATAACAGAGAACTAACCATGTCTTGTGATACAGGCCATAAGAGTCCTACGGACAATTTTTACAATAAACGAAGGAAGATCGAACAGGAAAACCGTTTTCATAGAGGTTAAGCTGGTGCGGAAATCGTTAGCGAGGATTTTGGATCCAAATTATATGAAATTTATTAATACCTTTGTGACGATCGAACTTTGTGACGAACTGAGGGAGCCGGTCGGCCGAGCGGACAGCACGCGGGACTTGTGATCCTGTGGTCCTGGGTTCGATCCCAGGCGCCGGCGAGAAACACTGGGCAAAGTTTCTTTCACCCTATGCCCCTGTTACCTAGCAGTAAAATATGTACCTGGGTGTTAGTCAGCTGTCACGGGCTGCTTCCTGGGGGTGGAGGCCTGGTCGAGGACCGGGCCGCGGGGACACTAAAGCCCCGAAATCATCTCAAGATAATCTCAAGATAACGATGTCAACGCCATCTTTTGAGCGTACCCGACCCCATTTTGTTCCCCTGGTGGAAGGCTGTGATCTTATTGACCCCTGTGTAGCTTCCTTCTTGCTAATCACATTTTATTAGTAATCCAACCCGTTCTCGACTCAAGTCCATTGCATCCAGCGGTCGACCCCACAGACGCATTCATAAATTTTAACATGCTGTTCATTCAAAACAGGAATTTTCTCAAATGTAAATTAATATTATAATACACTAGCATATTGTGCATATATAGGCATAAGTTAAATTACGTGTTTAGGTTCTCTTGGCGAATATTCGTATTTGTAGTACGTGGGTGAAGCATTTATAGCGTTGTGGTTCGAATAAAATTCGTCAGTGAAGCACTTGTTCCGGAAGTGTTCGGACGTCATCAGTTGTGAGTCGTGTGTAAACCGTTTTTCATTCATAAACAGTGGGTTTGGCGGGTGCATGGAATCACTTTTGGGTCTTTGTTTGGAGGACGGGCTGGATCCTCAGAAGTGATGTCAGTGGTATCTTGGTCGACAGGACTCAGTTCCCCAAGGCCAGTCCTGGACTCAAGACGTTTTCCAGTGGGAATAAGTGGCCGGGTCGGTGTAGACAGTGATTTGTCCGTGATTCTTAGTGAAGTATTGGTGATTGGACGGCCGTATCCTAGGATGGCCCAGTTGAGTTATGAGATGGAATCAATGTCCATCTATTAAGGCTTGTTTTAATTGAAGCCTGTGTGGATGCCTGCCAGCGTGTGTTGCTGGAGACCCCTGCCAGCGTGTGTTGCTGGAGACCCCTGCCAGTGTGTGTTGCTGGAGACCCCTGCCAGTGTGTGTTGCTGGAGACCCCTGCCAGTGTGTGTTGCTGGAGACCCCTGCCAGTGTGTGTTGCTGGAGACCCCTGCCAGTGTGTCGCTGGAAAGTACAAGTAGTGTTGTGGCACAGTGACGATACTGTGTAGGACTGGTCCATGATTTACCGAGAAAGGTGAACTGGCCGGCGTGAGGCCTATAGAAGACAGACTCAGGGAGGGAACTTAGAATACCATAGAAGACAGAAGTGAACTCACCGGAAAAAAAAGATTGCAAGTTTGATAGTGTCGTGTGTGAAAGTGACACCTGCAGTGTTATGTCATGTACATATATGTATATATAGTTAAGAAATACACTTGGTGATAGCCTGTTTAGTGTTTATCCTCTTTTTTTCCTTTAGATTTACTATTACTGCTAATTCTTATTAACTTACCTGTGACTCGGGGTGGGAAGAGGCACCAAGGCCCCCATATGCAGTTTGATCAGTAAACAACCCGGTTACTGGCTACTTAAGGCTGTAACAACCTTCAACAACCGCGTTCCTCGGTGCTGTGATGTTCCTGAATCTCTCCGTCTTTTCCTTGAAACGATTATTTTAAGGAACAAAAAAATATTGAACTGAGGACGGTTGGAAAACTAAAGTCATGTCAACAGCCCAGGTAATCTTACTTGTAACTAAACCCAAATATATTTTCTTTCTCCCTTTACAAATTGGTCTTGGGGGGGGGGGTGGAGGAGGTTGGCTAAATCTAAAGTATAGGATGATATAGGAAAGATATAGAAAGAAAAAGCTAAAGTATAGAAAAAAATCTAAAGATAGGATGGCTAAATGGCTAGATTGATGGCCAAATACCTCATGAACATCGTCTCTGCTCTGGCATTGTGTGTTTCATATGAACAAAATTAAGTTATTTGAAGCATCAGCTCTTGAACACCGGAGTAATTTTCTCAGTTTGATAATGACGATATCAACATGATACGATAGATGGAACTCCCCAGAAGTCAAATATCAAGCAAATATTTCTGCAAACCTTGGAAAGAAAAGGTGCGGGGGGGGGGGGGGGGTGGGGAATATATTCTTAAAGCCTTTGAAGTGGTTTCGATATTATTTCCTCCTTTTACCGGCAACTTAAAATTAAATTTGTCAAGCTACTGTCTGGAAACAAGACGTTGCAAGATGTACAGATTTCCGAAGATCTTAAAACATACCTTCACTCTACTGAAAAGTTTCGGAAGAACTTTTAGAGCCACTCTGTATGGGACACAAACAGAGGAGATTTCTTTGAAGAGTGAATTATTTGATCTTTTTACTAATTATTCGTCTAAAATTCACTTTAACGTTGCTTCATTGCACCCAACTATTTGGGCTGGACGGTAGAGAGACGGTCTTGCTTCATGCAGGTCGGCGTTCAATCCCCGACTGTCCAAGCGGTTGGACGCCATTCCTTTCCCCACTGTGTCCCACCCAGGGAGCCGGTGGCTGAGCGGACAGAACACTGGACGCGTGATCCTGTGGTCCCGGGTTCGACCCTGGGCGCCGGCGAGAAACAATGGGCAGAGTTTCTTTCACCCTGATACACCTGTTACCTAGCAGTAAATAGGTACCTGGGAGTTAGTCAGCTGTCACGGGCTGCTTCCTGGAGGGTGGAGGCCTGGTCAAGGACCGGGCCGCGGGGACACTAAGCCCCGAAATCATCTCAAGATAACCGTCCCGTCCCAAATCAAATAATATCCTGACTCCCTCCAAGTGCTATATATATATATACAAGATAACCGTCCCGTCCCAAATCCTTATCCTGACCCCCCCAAGTGCTATATATATTCGTAATGGCTTGACGCTTTCCCCTTCCCTTGCTCCACTACTTCCTACTGAAGCAGCTCCGCGACTTCCTTCTTTCAGAACACATCACCAGGGACGGAAATGGTGTGGAAATCATAAAAATCTACTCAATTGAGGTTGGAAAAAGACACATTATGGGCTAACTAGTTTAGGAGTCACCAGGGAGGAAGTTATTAAACTAATAGAAAACTCAAGCCAAACATATTTCCAGTGCTTGAGGTGTTTGCCAGGGTGCTTGAAGAATGCAAAGAGGAGCTCTGTGTCAGCGTCGTGGAGGGTCTAATGTGGTACCAATTTTCAAGAAAGGAGAGAGATCATTCAAGTATGTTTATTGAGACAAGAAAGAAATACATCTCAAAGGGATAGAGTAACTTAGGCTATTTCTACCCCCCCCCCTTCCTGGTAGATCATTTGCGTCGAACTATCGGTCATTTAGCCGATAATTCGTCAATTGTGAGAGAATAGATTATTGCAAAAGCCATTCGTCTTCATCTTGAAAAACATAGATTAGTAAATGATTCACATCTTAGTTTTACCAAGGGCCTACTCATGTTTGGGTAATGTTGTGTTATTATACTCCAGCCAAACTGAAGCAGTTGGTAGCGGAAAGGTTTGTGGCGTTGTGTGACTCTAGCAAAGCTTTTGATACGGTGCCACATGAAAGGTTAATTAAAAAAATATAGGCTCACGG